CCACCACCACCACCACCACCACCACCACTCCCTTAACCTTTAGGTCTTCACATTCTTCTATTCCAGTGGAGAACTATTCTATCCTCCGGACGGGTTATGGTGCTACTAATTTGTTCAAACCAGAACTAACGAAAATCAATAAAAACTCAGGCTCTCTGACTCTGAGCACCCTGATCGAGAGGGCACAACTCAAAACAGATTTTAATTTGTTTTTTATGTAAATCTATTTTACGTTTCTATCGACACAGTTCCGACCATTTAAGCCGAGGGTTTCCCACTGTGCCTGCTAGGGCCAACTTCCGGAAGTGAAAAACTTGGAGCTGGATAACTGTATTGGATTTATGCCACTTTGCAGCTGGATCAATAATTATTCTCTTCATTTTTTAATTTTTTTAAAGATTTTTTTTTTTGGGTGTTCCATTTCTTGAATGCACACCTTTGAAACACAGTTGCAAGCGTTCATAAAATGGAAAAAGTTCCAAGAGTGAGTTTGGTGTAATAAAAACTTCTCCAAGGGTAAGTTTTGTGTTTTGACGACTGCTCCAAATGGGACTCGACTTCGAAAAGGTTCTCCAACAGAACACCGTATCTTACAACAGAGGTCACCCAACCAGCCCCTGACCCCAAATTGCACCTCCCCACGACATCTATCGATTCAAAAGGGGGGGGGGGGGGAGAACAAAGACAAAGACAAACAAGTAAAAATAGAGTAAAGTTAAGAGAATAGAAATAGACAGGTTTCAAATTGCCATGGGTACACTGAAAGAAAAAAGAAAAAGTAAAAAAGTTTTTTAAAACAGTAAAGTTATGAGAATTAAAATAGTCAAATGTCTACAGCTGTCATGGATACACTGAAAGAAAAGGAAAAAGAAAAACAACGAAAAAAAAAAGATTACGAAAAAAAAAGATACAATTAATAAAGCCTAAGGCAATGGGAATAAAACTAGTCAGATTTCTACAGCTCTCACGGGCACACTGAAAGCATCGGGAAACTTCTTTGAAGTTGAAGTAGGTCACCAGATCCCAACACGATGGG